GTTTCGTTTTTCTAATCCGTGTGCTTTCATTAATTAGTCCTCCTTCTTGATTGCTTGCAACACTGCTTGCTTTACCACTTGCGCGTCAACACTGTCGTTCTTGTGACTCTGCAAAACAAGTTATTGTCAAAAAATTTGAGTATTGTTGGTTGTATCACATTATCTAATTATTTACTATATATACTCCATGCAACAACAAAAATGGTAGAAAAACGAACCTATTTAAGGTTTTTAACTTCTGGTTTTTGGAGAAAAACTATTAAATAACTATGAGGTGTATAGCAACTAGGGTAAAAAAATTCTGTCTCGATGAATCGATATCAATAACACATCATTAAGTACAACGTTTGTTTTTCTTCAAAACATGTATGGATCCATTCAGGTATCTAATTTATGTTACTTTGGAACCTCAGAACCATGAAAGAATTTCTCACCAAAACTTTACTACAAGTGTTCGAGTTGTTTCTAACTTCTATGAATGTATATATTTGGATTGTTTATAGTCAGAAGCTAATACATAGTTGTGTGAAGAGGTTAGTTTTATAGGTTTAAAATTATTTGAAATGAAAATCAAATGAGGAGAATATTTAAAGATAAAGTTTTATGATATTTATGTATTTTGTCTTACTTCTCTTCCCACAGCTTCTAGCTGGAAACTGTCTTCACAAGAAACCCTAGCATCAAGCACATCAAGGCCAAGTTCTTCGAAGGCTTCGAGTACAGACACGAGCATACCAGGACTATTGTTCTCTAAAAGCACGTTAATGAGGAAACCCTTCTTTAGGGTTTTCACAGTTACCTGCAAAAGTACCATTTTCACAAGATTCATCAGTATTGAACTGTGCTAAGTCAGACGAAAAGTTTTACCACTCCCAGATTCTCTTTTCTAACATAAATCGGATTATTGAATGTTAAACAAGATCTTTATCAATTTCGACTCAAAAGAATCTATGAACAACAAATTAAATGCAGCAACAAGATTAATAAGCACCGCAGGTAGTTCATCAATTTGAGAGTTTGATGATGATTCATTGATCCCCAGCTCTGAGTTCAGTCCCTCCACTTTTTGTTTCAACTCCTCTATGTATTTTGAGGCATCTGCAATGATTGAAGCTTTGTTCAGCTGCCAAAAGTTAACAAAGAAACTATTATTAGGTCAAATCTTTTAAAAGCTTTGATTCAAGACGAATCAGAAGCTGGAGCTTCATCTGTGATTAATTCATCAAAATATATAACAAATTACAGCAGTTGAGTTTGTGACATCGCGAAGTTGTTGCAAAGTCTGTTCCAGAGACTCTCTTCTTTTGTCTCTAGAAGCCATGCTTATCACTTTTGTGCAGTTGTTGTTTTGATTTTGATTTTGCTTTTCTCTCCTTTTGTTTGTTTTCTCTTCCCTTCCTTTCCCATCTGTCTGCTTAGACAAGTTTTCCTTTTTTATAGAATTGGCTGAGCTATTAAAAAATATGTGTAATATGTCGTTTGTTTGCATGAGTACCTAAATATTCCCTACACTAAATTATGCTTTTACTAAATTGACCCCGCCATTTTCAGATACCTACATATAAATAATTTGGGTGAAGCAAGACAAATTTGATAAGAAATAAATAATCATAAATGGTAACCATGTAATCATAAAGATGGTTACATTATTAGGTAAATACACAGTACTATTATAAAAATATATAATAGTCATTATTCTTAATCATTCATGTATATTATTCAAATTTATAGTTATAATTTCATAATAATCAAGCGTTTCTCTTGATAATTTAATCGTGTACATTTATGTTTCCTACCATTGTTTAAGGAATTTTGCATAATTAAGAACAGAAAAATATTTCACTTATTTAAACATATTTATTAAGATAATCTTATTTTGTCAAACTACTTCAAATACAAAATATTAATATAATTTTTTTGGAAACAAATTGAAAAACTATCATTATCTTTTTCATTAACAAAAAAAATATTGAATGAAGTAATTTGGTTGCCCCAACACTTTTATACACAAAAATAAAATAAAATAAAATACATTCATTGGTTCCCTCCCTCCAACACATTAATGCACACATAATTATTTACCATCATATTAGTGGATAGACCCTTATCTTGAATCCATTGAATAATCAACCAAGCCAATGCAAAAGAGATTATGGAGATATATGCATAAACTTGTTGTAGTTTTTACCTCTACTTATGATTTTATCATTCGAGTAGCAAAGAGAGTTTGCATATAACATGATAAGTTCACTACGAAAAAGTAATTACTTACCCAAGTTTTGCTTTATTTTCTTTAAATAAGAAATACATATATTGTCGGACACAAATTCCGATCTGAATAAAGTTGATTTAATGATAAAAATTAAAAAGGAAAATGGGAGAAATTATTAATTCAATTTTCTTACTAACATTTTAAAAATATAAAGTTATAATTTAAAGAATTTGGAATGTAGAATATGAGAAGTTTTGAATTCAACTCTTCTACTAACAAAAGATAAGTACTTGAAAAATATTCATTAATAATCCAAACACATATAAAAACATCATTATTTGATTGAAGATTAAAACATTAAATAATTTAAAAAATGAAAACCAAAATTACAATCGGTCATTTTATGAAACATAAATGATATTGTTCTAATATCTTGAAATGATATTATTAAGACAAATGACTCTGTCAAATATATTATTTATTTTAAAACTCGAACTTTTATCATACTTTTATTTTATACGTTATCGAATATTGAAAAAGGTAAATATATTTAAATTGTTCATTAACTCGATTTTCATATAAAGGTATTGAGTAACAACAGATATAATCAAATACAAGTTTCATCTTCCCCTGTGACATGCTATATCATTTCCCTTTTTATGATTAAGCTTCTTATTTGGATTTTCTTGAATTTGTTTCTGTTGTGGATCTTGGATATAATGATCAATAATAGTAAAACTTGAAAGTGCTGATCCCAAGAAAATTGTGTGTGGTTGTCATATTTCATCACTTAGCCTTCCAGACAATGCGAAGTGATACTACTCCTCAGATTCTCTTTTATTTTTCTATCTTCCTCTCAAAGCCAGCACTCACGTGATGAAACATCAACCTTCGTGTACTTAATTTTACTGTATACAGCATCTTTTCTACATTAATTTAACTTGGCATAGCGCGTTGCAACTTCATAAATGCACATTAACTAATGACAGGTAAAGAGCACCTTATGCATGTGATTTAACGTTCGATCTTAAGAATCATTTATACAGAAAACTGAGAAAAACATATCAGAAAAAATAGTTCAACCTATGAAAATTGATGTGAAGAGTATTTGAGTGAAAAATTACTGAGAGAAATGCTTATATTTTGTATAGAAAGAGATATGAAGGAAGCCCCGTGAGTGAAGTGCTTGAAAGAATTGACAGGTAAAGTAGGTTGTTGACACATGCTTCTGATTTTGGATGGTAACAGGAATAGGAGAAGTAATTATGATGGAATAAAATGGAATCATCTTGAAGTTTTTGAAGGGTTCGTATATCAATCACAAACAAAACAAAACAAAAACATTCATTCTCATCTTTTACTTCCTTTCACGTGTGCATGCTTCTTTCATACCTCTCGTGACTCCTCTTTCATCAAATACTCCGACGGAGCCCAGGACCCTCTTCCATGTGCCCTTTCGCTAGGGCTCTGTCAAACTACTTTCCTTCCTGGCTTTATCTACTTTATTCAATTCTTTTATTATTTTTCATCCATACGTGTATTAATTTGGAGTGAGGTTTGTGCTCTTTATCTTAAGACACATAATTCACCTGGGATATGTGTCAAGATCTCATCCCGATTCAAAAGCTTTATGTCTATTAGTGAGTCTACTTCTACCAGTATATAAATATAAAGAAGAAACTTTGAGAACTACGATAAACTCTCTTCATAACTTTGACCTTGTATACTTTGCCACGAGAGTTATGTTATTACCAGTAAAGTCGACTTTGACTTCTGTACACAAAGACACATGCTTCTTTGTTTATGAAAGAAAATGTTGTCTTTGCATGGCAGAGTAATTATTGACATTTCCGTTAGTAATTCAAGAAAACGTCTAAAATATAATTGTCACCAATGTATATACTAATGATAATTGTTGGAAGTTACATGGAAAATCCACTCATTCACTATTGGCATGTTAATTCATTTACACCATAACAAAGTAATTTTTATCTATTTTTGTACTTATGACTCTTTAGTAACCACAGTATAGAAAATCAACTATTAAGTCGATAACAAATTATGATTTCAAATTATCAATTAAACGCTCTTGTTATAGGTCATTAAGTTTGGACGATTACCTAATAGATTGGATGACAACTCATCATATCGAACTACCTCAATAGGACGAAAAGACAATCCTTAATGGTTATCTGACAAATTCATCAACAATTCATCCAACTGAAAGGTTTAAATAGTTCCAAAATAAATAACCCTAAAACGAATTAACACAAGGTTAAAGTATGATAATTTATGTTTAGGTTATAGTTAGATTAACTTTGATAAAAATCCACAATAAAATCTATAAGTAAAAATTTAAAGTAAGAATATAGATTATACATTAATTATTAGTATTATGTTGATATGAATTGATATCAAGTGCCTTCTGCACTTTGAACGTATGAAATATTATCTATCGGAAACAAACTGTTTAACATTTTAGACAACACAGAATACAATATTAATATATATATATAATATATATATATATATATATTATATATATATATATATATATTATATATAAAAGACGTTATGCATCTCCCAATCCATATATAAATAAAAAGATCTAATTGTTAGAAAGATAGATTCAAATTTGTCTTTAAAATCCTTTTTATCAAAAAGTTCCTATAGGGAATAAGCAAGTCTGTCTAAGGTTTTTCATATGTGCAAAATTGAATTCAGATTACAAAATGGGCATTCTGATTTCTATTGTAAAAGAATATATTGTTCCATCCATCCATTTCTAATATTTATTATTCAATACTAATGTTATTTATTTTTATAGTTGATGGAAGCATAATTATTTTAATAATATTTAATAAAATAAAAATAAAAATAATATTGAATTTTTTAACTTTTTAAAATTAATTTTTTGTATCACGTTAGAAATAGTTGAATCAACTCTATTAGTATTCAATATTAAACGGATTTTTTAGTGTTGACTTTAATTATTAAAAAATTAAATAATTTTATACTTTTTAATTCTTTAAGAAAATAATATTTTGCGTCGTAGAGTTGTTAAATAACGTAGTAACTTTGGATTTGATCGATGCTAATTTTATGCAATTTTTTTATAAGCAATGAGTCACTTGTCGCGTCGTGTAACGTGTCTAAGAAAGAGGAGAACAGGATAAGAAAGGTGGAAAGACTGCATCTCCTGCGTTCATCTTCTTCAGTTCACCCAAGCAGTATTCTTCAGTTTCTTTTTTCAATTTCTTTCTCCATTCTCATAGATAGCACCTTTAAATAGATGAAGTGTTAATGAAAATTTTGGACTGATTAGATTTTTAAAAGAGTTACTTCAATTTTTATCCTTTTTATAAAAACAATTTATTTTTTTTATTAGTTTTTTTTTTTTGCATATATTTTTTTTTATATTCTAGATGAATCTTTATCTCGATCATGAAAACTATTAGTCGAATCAGATAATTATTATTTTGAAGCTATATAAAGGAAAAACCACTAGTACAGGTAAACGATACGGCACCGGTTAATTCACTGATAGACCACCGGTTTTTGAACCGAGGCATATTCAGGCGAGGTAAAAGTGATAACCTTTTTACCTCGGTTCTAAAACCGGGTTATTTTTTGGTCTCTACGGCCTCGGTTAGAACCTCAACCGAGGTAGTAGGATTTTTTTTTAATTCTTTTCAAACCCAGAACCCAGAATCCAGGTTGAAAACTTTAACAACTTAAAAATGAAAGAAGTTAGATAAGAAAATTCATTCACTCTGTCACGCCAAACTGATTCATTCGTTCATTCAAAAATCTAAAACCAACAATCAAGATTTCATAACAGAATCAAACAAGAAACAATATTACAACATAATGTGAAAATTGTCTCTACAGATGCGTAGAATTCCATTCTCAGATGCAATATTACAGCAACAGAAAAAACTCAGAAAAAACTCAGAGATGGATGAAACAGAAAGTCAGAGAAGCCAAATTTCTTCCTCTTCGCACATGGTGAAACAGAAAGCCAAGTTTCTCTGCAACGCCTCTGCCCCGCCACCCCGACGAAGCCTTCACGCTTCTGTCCCGCATGCCTCTGCAAACGCCTCGTCTCCTCGCCCCAACAACAACAGCCTCCATCCACTGCCGCCGTCGCCGCCCTTAAAGCCCTCTTCCGCCTAGAACCCTATAAGAAAAAGGAAACTTATTTTGGACCCATTGATCGGTTTAAATCAAATTTTATCGTGGAAAATGTTTCTAACGTGAACAAGGTTTTAATCGTGGAATCGAAGGAAATGGTGAAAAGGAGAAGAAAC